GCGCGGGGGGCTGCACTGAGGGAGGGGGAGTTGAGGCCAATAAGGGGCTGGAGGACTGTGGGCGGGAAGGCCTGCAGGTCTGTGTGTGGATAGCTGGGGTTCCAGGAGGAGCACAGCCCCCCGCTCCCCAGCTCACTGACCTTGGACAAGACCCCCATCCTCTGTGGCCTGCAGGCCTTTCATCTGCCAAACCGTGGGATTCAGTGTGACCGTGAAGGAAGGCCATACAGATAGCTGTGCACATATAGCATGCGCTCCATACAAGGCGCTGGCAACGAATCTCTAAACCAGTGGTTCTCAACCTTCTGGCCCTTTACATACAGTTCCTCATGTTGTGACCCAACCATAAAATTATTATCGTTGCTACTTCATAACTGTCATGTTGCTGCTGTTATGAAGCGTCATGTCAATATCTGATATGCAGGATGGTCTTAGGCAACCCCTGTGAAAGGGCCGTTCGACCGCCAAAGGGGTCGCGACCCACAGATTGAGAACCGGTGCTCTAAATGCAGCCTCCCTCCTTCCCCAGGCCCCCACTGCCCAGGACATAGCCTGCGTGGCACCCCCGACCCAGCAGAGGGCGCTGTGGCTCATGTTACTCTGTCTTGTCCACCTGCCAATGTCCTGCACCTCTCAGGGTTCAGCATAAAAGTCTCCTCCTCTAGAACCTTCTTAGACCCCCTCCCCCAGGCAGAATCTTGGCTCCTTTCCCAGCCCACCTGGCCATTTGTACTGTTCTTACCCAGGGGGGCTTATGTGTTCCCACGTCTGCCTCCCCGAGTGGTCAAGGAGCTTGTAGGGTGGCAGGGTTGGGTCCTGGTCCCCTCCCCTCTCCCCAGGGCCTGCGATGTAGCAGTTCAGTGGATTTGGGGAACAACGTGAATGAATCAATGAATGAGTACATGTAGGCAACCTTCAGATGCTTTTCATGAAATCCTTCCATCAACCACCAGTAAGCATAGCTCTGCTGGGAGCCACAGGGCTGGGTGAGAGGTTCGTTAGTGAACGGCCTGCTCCCGCCCTCCTGAAACTTCTGTCTGAGCGCCCAGGGATGACCTTCAAGCACACTGAGTCCAGGAAGAGCAGACAGGGTACAAATGTCCTGTGCCGGGCACGGACCATGCATGCTAGAGCAGGTCAGAGCTGCCCGTAGGAACACCGTCAGCCCAGACTGGCAGAGACAGCACCTCTTTCCCACCCATGGAATTTTAGAGAGAGTGGAAGGAAGGGAGGGAGAGAGATGAGAGAGAAACATCGATGTGTGAGAGACACATCAGCTGGTTACCTCCCACACACTCCCTGACTTGGAGCCAGGGATTGAGCCTGCAACCGAGGTACGTGCCCTTGACTGGAATCAAACCTGGGACCCTTTGGTCCGAGGGCTGACACTCTATCCACTGAGCCAAACGAACTAGGGCTGACCTGGTAAGTTTTTATGTGGATCATCAGAACGGTTCTTCCAGAAGGGAAACCTTCAGCGCTGGAAGGCAATGGCCTGGCAGGTGGTGGAGCAGCCAGGGCGGGGAGGGGGTGCCTTTAGCCAGGGGGTCCTCACCTTGCACCTGCCCCAACACCTCCATCATAAGGAGACATATCCTCTTCCCTCAAGAGACCAAATCCATCCCCAGGCCAATGTCTCCATCCCTTGAAGACTCACTCCCCGGCCCACCCTCTGCAGTGTGGCCACTCCCTGGGCCCACTGTCCCCACTGGGGGCCACCCCCAGCCAGGGACCCCAAGCTCACCATGCTGGGCCAGGGTAACAGTGAGCTGGGTGCCCAGAGGCCTGTCGGGTAGGAATGAGAAGCTGTCCCTGTCGGCTATGACGAACTGCTCGCAGGGAATGACACATTTTCTGGGCACACAGCGGGGAACCGGGCAGTCTGACCAGGGCATGTCGTCACTGAGATCACAGGACACTGGCTCTGGGGGGGACCTGCCAGGAGAGGACACAGGTCAGTCTAGAAGGAAGAAGCGCTCACTCCCAACATTATTGGGTGGTTTCCATATACGAAGCTTTGTCCAGGGCCCGGGGTGCGGGTGGGGCGGGACGGGGGCTGGCAGTGAACAAAACACACACCAATTGCTGTCCACGGACCCGACATCCTGCTGGAGGGAGACAGACATGAACAGCTGAATGAAATAAGTCACATGTCAAACGGGGAAAATTTATGCAGACACGTGCAGCAGGGAAAGGGTGACGCGGAGGCCAGAAGTCTGGGGTGGGGGATGCAATTGGAAATAGGGGAGACAGGGAAGACCCCCTGGGAAAGGTGACATGTGAGCAGAAACTTGGAGGAGGAGGGGGAGGAGTCAGGCAAATTCCGGGGGAAGGGAATTTCAGGTACTGGCAGGTGCACAGGCCCTGGGGCAGGCTCAGGTTTGCAGGGTGGTACGGCTAGGCAGCTAGACATTATGCATAGAGTATGTGAGGCTGGGAGGTCTAGGAGGCTAATTGAGTGAGGTGACAGGAGGCCAACACTTAAAAGGAAGTTGGATTTCACTGTAAGCGGGAAGAATTAGAGAGCCATGCGCAAAGGCGTGATGTATTGTGACATATGCTTTGAAAGGATTCCTCTGGCTGCTGGGTTGTGGACAGATTGGTTTAAGCGGGGTAGGGAGGGTGGAGGGGGCAGTATTGGAAGCAGAAGGACCAGTTAGGAGGCTTCTGGAATATCCCAAGAGACAGGAAATGGATGGAACCAGGTAGCGATGTTAATGTAACATTGGCCAGATTCGTGTTCTATTTTAAGATAAAGTCGACCGCATTTGCTGATGGATTAGATGCTCTGATGGGGAAGGAAAGGTGGTAAAGAGATGAAAACAACAACACAACCCTCCCCGGTGTTTGGCTTGAGCCACAAGGAGCCCCCATTTAGTGATGAGAGATGGCAAGACTGGAGCGGAGGGTCTTCTGGGGGCAGAGCAGGAATTTGGTTTAGGATGTTTGGGGTTGAAGACACCTATTTTCTTTATTTTCTGTTTTTTAGAGATATTCCTTTCATTCTTTCTTTTTAAATATATTTTTTTATTGATTTCAGAGAAGAAGGGAGAAGGAGAGAGAGATAGAAACATCAATGATGAGAGAGAATCATGGATCAGTTGCCTCCTGCACGCCCCACACTGGGGATCGAGCCTGCTACCCGGGCATGTGCCCTTGACCGGAATCGAACCCGGGACCCTTCAGTCCACAGGCCGACACTCTATCCACTGAGCCAAACTGGCTAAGGCGAGATATTCCTTTCTTTTTTAAATATTTTAAAATTGATTTGAGAGAGAGAGGACAGGAGAGGTATAGGGAGATAGAAACATCGATGAGAGAGAAACATTGATCGGCTGCCTTCTGCACGCCCCTTATTGGGGATCAAGCCTGAAACCTGGGCATGTGCCCTGACTGGGAATCGAACCGGTGACCTCTTGGTTCATGGGCTGATGTTCACCCCTGAGCCACACCAGTCGGGTGACACTTATTTTCTAAGGGACGATGTGGAGAGGCGAGTGCCCCCGTTGGGTTTCAGCTTCGGGGGAGGCCTGGGCTGGGAGAGCAGTGAGAGCCCGGAGCCTGAGGCTGGACCGCTGCCACTGGGTCACGATATGAGTGGAGGACTGAGCCCTGGGGCACCTCACTCTTCAAGTTCAAAACCAAAAAGGAACCAGATGAGGAGACAGGAAAGGATGGGCCAGGGAGACACAGGGCAAGGGCTGAGCGTGGTGGCCAGAAGCCAGGAGCAAAAGTGCTCTAGGAGGGCCCTGTGGTCAGTCCAAGTCGGGGGTGCCCGGGGTCAGGGAGGGAGAGGCTCAGACTGACCACTGGACTTCACAGCCACGAGGGCTTTGCTGACTCCAGCAGGAGCAGGTGACCTGGGGGGACAGCAGACTCCTGGGGGAGTCGTTTCCGGAGAGAATAACTGGAAAGACACGGGGCATGCTGGGTCTGGGCCGCTCTAGAGGAGTGTTGTTACAAAGGAGGCAGAGGGTGGGCCCCGGCGGGAGGAGATGGGGCCAGGGGGCACCCTGGAGCTGCACCCCTTCTTGGCATCTGTCAGTGGGGCTCAGTGGTGGTAAATGATCCCAGGGGAGGGCCCATCCATGGCCCAGGAGCGTGGAGACCTTGAGCGGCAAGACCAGATGAGACCCCGGCTGCTCAATCTCTGCAGGAAGTCACAGCAGGGGACCCAGGGAGGCAGCGGGCGTGGCCGGGCAGCGAGAGCACAGAGGGGCTGGGGTTCTCTTCCGTGGAGTCTGGTGTCTCAGTGGGGAGGGAGCAGGTCATGGCCAAGGGCGGGGGTGGGGGTGGGGGTGCAGTGGTAATGAGGAGGGGAGAGCGAGAAATACAGGGGTTCTCAGGAGAGACATGGGTGGCCATGCTCCCCAGGGCGGCCTTGAACCCTGTGACCCCAGCTGTTTAATTCTCTCTGATGCTATGAGTTGGACCCTCACCGAACCCCAGCATGGCGCCAGGCATCTCCCCGAATGGCACAGGCCCCAGACATGGTGTGAGGGAAAGAACGAACTCCTCCAACTGGCGGTTTCAGGGCCCTGGGGACACCCGGGGCCCAGCCTCTGGGGCCAGACACAGATGCTGGCCTCCCTGTGGAGGGTGAGCCACCTCAGCTCCGCAGCCTCGGTCCTGCATCTGTGAACCGGGTGGCATTTATCCCCCCATGCCTGCCTCTCAAATGGAACGAGTGCGGGCAATTTTGTTAAATTGTGATGAAATAAGAGACGATCATCACCAGCAACAGCAACAACATTCACACACATGCTCCTCCCGGAAACCCTGGCGTCAGATACCAGCTCCTGGGCCTGGCGGCCACCCGATGAGCAGCAGCTCCTGGGCAGGGGCCTCCCTCCTCTGTCCTCTGTCCAGCCCCCGCCTGGCATGGCCTCACACAGCAACCCCTCCCAGCCCTCCGGCCCCTGGGCCCCAGAGTCACTCACTCGTTCAGCCTGCGGTAGAGGGTCAGGTTGAGGAGCCGCTGGGCCTCCTGGGTGTCTGCCCACCTGCAGGTGATGCGGCTGGTGTAGTCGTTATGGCAGTGCAGGGTCTGCAGCGGGATGGTCCCTGACCCGGGAGACACAAGAAGGGGTCACACCTCTCCCCTCCAGGTGCCCTTTGTCACCATCCCTCCCAGCCCCTCCTGGGTGCCCAGCACTGGGGAAGGGTCACCCAGAATCCTCTAGGCTCCTGGATGCCAGACAGAGGTCTGGGGCCCGGGGCAGGGCCGGGGGCTCCGCAGCTGTGAGGGTGCTGGTTGCAGACCCTCCTGTCTGGATAGAGTCACGATATCCTAGTTGACTCACAGCCATTTCTAGCCCCTGCTGTGTCCTCCTCCTGGATCTGGGTCCCTGCCACCCCAGGACAGGGACGTGTATCAGGCCCAGGCCCTGCCCCTGGAGCCCTCAGTGCATCCTGGGAGGAGAGGCACAAACCACTCCTAAGAGGCAGCGGGGCAGAGCCCTGCTCTGGGACACCCTGCCCATGTCCTTGCTCAGCTGCCGGGCCTGATGGTTGGAAAAGGGGTGTGGTTCCCATGGTGACCAGAGACGCCAAGTTCTCTGGGAGCCCTTGGGGAGCGGGGTTCATGCGCCTCAGGAGCATCCCAGGTGCTGGAGCCAGAGCAGGAAGAGAACCCCAGGCTGAGAGCCCCAGGGAAGTGGGGATCCATCAAGGCCACCATCAGAGGAGCGGAGTGGGGTGGGGGTGGGGGTGGAGGAGAGAAGGGGCAGAGAAAGGCTGGAAGGGCCGGCCTGGAGGTCAGAGGCCTTGAATGCCACGCTGAGAAATGTGAGCAGAGAAAGGACACAGTAGAGATGGTCTTTACAGGGGCCCTGAGAGCACTGAGCGGGAGCGTGGGAGGGGCCAAGAGGCACCTGGGAACATTAGGGAGAGAGAAGACATGAGGGAAGGGAGGGAGGGGAGGCCGGAGCCCCTGGAGTCTGGAGCTTCCTGGGGAATAGGTGGCAGACAGCTTCACCCAAGGGTCCCAGCAATGGGAGGGGCCTGGGGAGAGGAGAGAAAGGGGAGGGAGCTGTCGGGCTCACCTGGGACCCCTGCCATGCTGGGCTCCTGGCTCAGAGCCAGCAGGGCCATGGGGAGCAGCCACCGGGTCAGCGCCATCTCCTGGTCAGCTCTGGGCGAGCAGGGCCGGCAGGGTGGGCGCAGGTCTGGGCCAGGGCAGGTCCTCACTGGCCTGGAACCCTGTGTCCCTCCCCAGTTGGGGGCCAGGTCAGACCCATGTCATCCGCGTGCTCCTGTGAGTCTTCCCTGCAGGCTCTGCCCTCTCTGGGCCTGTGGAGGAAACGTCACCTGGGAGCTGCCCTCCCAGCCTGCGTCCCCAGGCACTCGGCCCACTTTTGGGGTGAACCCGAGGGTGGTCCTGATGCATGGGCCTCAGCCTGGCACCTCAGACAGTCCCGTCCCCTTAGCCTCAGTGTCCCCCAGTGTGACCTCGAGGGAGATGCTCTACAGGCCTCTGAGGACGTGGGTTGGGCACCCCGGGCAGGGCCCTGGTGATGGGAAAACAGGAGACGGAGGCCTGGATTTGCCCCGAGATCCCTGTGGGCTGCTGACCTACATCTGCGTGGGGAAGTCATTGGGTGTTGGGGACACAGTGTCCTCCCCTGGGTGTGATCACGTGCACACACACACACACACACACACTCACACACTCGTGGGTGTTGGGGACACAGTGTCCTCTCCTGGGTGTGATCACGTGCACACACACACACCCACACACACTCACACACTCCATGAAGTGATGGATACTCCTTAAGTAGACACAATTTTTACTTGATAATCATACCTCAAGAAAGCCCCCCCCCAACTTTTTTTAAATTCAAGTTGATTCCAAACCAAATTGCTGAATTCTAAAACCAAATCCAATATTCCTGAACTCAGGGGGCCATAGTAGAGATCCAGGTGCCAGATGCCCTCACCTGTCCTGGGGACAGGAATGAGAAGTCCATGCGCCCCCTTCTTCCCAGAGTTATATGGGGGTGCCATCTTTTCACTTTAAAGTATGACACACTCTCACACACACACTCACACACACACACTCACACACTCACATTCACTCACAGACACACTCACACACACACTCACACACACACGCACTCACACACACACACTCACACACACACTCACTCACACACACTCACTCACACTCACACACACACTCACACACTCACTCACACACACACACACTCACACACACACACACATTGAGTTTAATATTATCAGTGGTCACAGACCAGACAGTGTTTTACCCAAGGATGTGCTATATGACAAAGGCGAAGTCATGAGTCAACAGGCTGTGATAAGAAATAACAAAAAGAACAGGAATAAGAAAAAGTGCTAAGATAATTGAATGACAACAGAAAACGTATCAGATAAATTCCTATCTCACACCATTCCCCAAATATCAGGCTACTTTACAATTTAAATGGAAGAAGTCAAAGCCTATTAAACTTGCAGACCATAGAAGTGAATACCTTTACACTATTCCAGCTTAAAAACAGTGGAAGAAATCAGAGAGATGAAGGCTGACAGACAGAAATACATAAAAGCAACATCTATATTTTATAAAAATAACCAGACCACGAAGCAAAGGACCAAAGGCAAAAGAGCAATGTTTGCAGCAATATTATGAGGAACAGATGACTATCTTTACAGTGGAAATCTTTAAAACAGATTAATGTTATCAACGAACACAAGCATAAAATTCACAGACACACAGAAAATTCATATCCGTGGCGGACATAAAACACTGAGCGTGAGCCAGGCACAGCTCAGGGCTTCACAGGTATGGATGCATCACTGTGTAGTTACTACTAGAATCCCCACTTCACAGATGAGGAAGCAGGTAGATGGTCCAGGATCGCAGCCAGTAAAGGCTAGGACTGAAGGCAATAGCAGGCGGGCGCCAGAGTCTGTGCTCTTAACCGCTACCCCTCTAGCGGGTGTATTTCCCAATCATCGGTATCATATGTGTCTACAGTGAGGTATACTGACCCAGCGGACATGTCTACAAACATGCATAAAAACAAAACATCTGATTATTGAGTTTAATATTATTATTTTGTATTTTTTTTCATTCTATACAGGAAGCATTTTTTACTGTACTAAGTCTTATTGGTTTATTTTCTTGCCACCGATTCCAGGATTGCATGCTTGCTTGCTTTCTTGGACTCTTTTTTTCTTTTCTGAAATACATCCTAGAGTGACTTTTTTTTTTTGTCAGAAAAGATCTAAAAAGCTTTTTTGTCGTTAGATTTCCAAAAAGTTGTGTGTTTTTTTCCCTTGAACTTTTTAAAAAATATATATTTTATTGATTTTTTACAGAGAGGAAGGGAGAGGGATAGAGAGTTAGAAACATCTATGAGAGAGAAACAGCTGCCTCCTGCACACCCCCTGCTGGGGATGTGCCCGCAACCAAGGTACATGCCCTTGACCGGAATTGAACCTGGGACCCTTGAGTCCGCAGGCCGATGCTCTATCCACTGAGCAAAACCGGGTAGGGTGAGCCTGGATATATTTTAATGTAGAGCCAGTAAGATTTGAAGATAGACTAAGTGAACAGAGTGTCATTAGTGACTCCAAGGTGTATAAAGCAAAAGATGGAGTTACATTTTCTGAAAATGCAAGGACTACCGGAGCAGCATACTCCAGATAAAAAAAGTCCAGGAACCCTATTTGCTTCATTTAGAGAAAAACATTCAAATGCAGATGTAAATCTATCAGTTGCTTCCCGTTAATCTGACTGAGGACTGAACTTGCAACCTAGGTATGTGCCCTGACTGGGAATCAAACCCGTAACCTTTTGGTTTACTGGATGACACTCCTACCAACTGAGACACCCGACCAAGGCCAAAACAAAACTTTCAAACACCTTGCTTAGCATTCTCAGAGAGATTTGAGAAATCATAGCCATTTAAAAGAATAGACTGCTATGATACAATAAATAGAGATCTGGAATTTGATGGCAAAAAAAAATCCATAATTTAAAAAACCCTCAGTATGAACTCTATAAACAACCATGTGATGATGGTATATACCGAAGACGGAGCAAATGGGCAAGGAGAGGGAAAGCCTGAGAGAAAAGCTGAGGCCTGGAGAAGAAGTCCAGGAGTTCCAACATCTGGAAGCAGAGGACAGAGCGACCTGCACGCAGGTGTGGCAGCCAGTGGCAGCCAGCGAGCGGTCCCCTTCCTCCCCAGGAACAGACGTGCAGGTTTTATCTGGACCTTTTGCTGCCAGAATAAAAGGCTATATTTCCCACCGTCTCCTATCATTAGGTGTGGTCATGTGACTAAATCTTATCCAAGGAGATGTGAGTGGAAACATTGGTTGTGCTATCCATAAAGGCTGTTTAGCCATAGCCAATTTGGCTCAGTGGACAGAGTGTCGGCCTGCAGGCTGAAGGGTCCCAGGTTAGATTCTAGTCAAGGCCGCATGCCCGGGTTTCAGGCTTGATCCCCAGCAGGGGAAGTGCAGGAGGCAGCTGATCAATGATTCTCTCTCATCATTGATGTTTCTATCTCACTCTCCCTCTTCCTTCTTCTCTGAAAGCAGTAAAAAAAAATATTTTTAAAAAGGCTGGAGAGATTAAAAATTGTGGAAGAGTAAGTGGATGCTGCATTGGACATGCTCCCAGGTCCAAACTGAAATTGCAATTGAAATACAGAAAAACTTCCTGAATAATCAATGGAAGACTCACTGGAGAGAACGCTGATAACCGAGGACTGAAAATGGAGGTGGCATAGAGACTGGTAAGAGGGGCGGAAATGCAAAAATGCTGGTCAGGCCCCCACAGACAGCAGCTGAAGTTCTGGGAAGATATCTCAGCTGCAGGGGGTTTGCCACTGAGAACTCTGGGGTCTAATCCCCAAGTGGGGCCCCCCACAGAGAGCACCAAAACCCACATAACATCTGGCTGTGCAAAGCAGCGGGGTTGCTGTCTGCCAGGGAGAGACAGCTGGAAATGCAGGCCCCCTCTTAAAGGGCCAACACACAGAATCCCCTGTGCAGCCACTCACCTTGTGCTCTGGCAGAGGGAGGGCAGAGTGGACTGGAGCTGTGTGTACAGAAACCAGGATCAGGGGCCCAGGAGTTAGAGCTCAGAAGGCATGCATCCCGGTTTCCTGTGCTGAGTCATTCCCTCATGCAGCGGAGGACATCTTTCTTATGTAGGCATTCCCTCTACAGGCGACCTTGCCTGGGGGAAAGACAACTGGTTCACCCTATTGGGAAACACCTTGCTGAAGCCCGATAAGAGACTGAGCATGACAATTAGCCTCCAGGCAGAAACAACTGCCCCACCCTGTTGAAAACAACTCTTGCAACACCTGAGGTTGATAGCCTGAGGGCAACTTAAGACAGAATCCTATCAGTCTGTAGACAGAGGCAATCTCTGGAGGCTTTGAGTCTTTGCCTGATCTAATCAGTCAGAAACAGCCTTGGACACTGTCCTGCACTAGAGACTGAGAGGCGTAGCAGATCTACCTAATACATAGTCACAAACCCAAACTGGCAGCCACAATGAGGAGGCAAAGAAACAACCCCCAAATGAATGTACAAGAGAATTCTCCAGAAGAAGAGATAAATGAAATGGAGATAAGAAATCTATCTGATAAAGAGCTCTGAGTAATGATGGCAAAGATGTTCAACAGCATGAGAAGAGATATAGTAACTGAAAACAGAAATAAAGAATGACATAGCACAAATAAAGAACACTTTGAAAGGAATACACAGCAGATTAGGGAAAGCTGAGGATTGAATCAGTGAATTAGAAGACACGGTTGTAAAAAACCACTGAATCAAAGAACCAGAAAGAAAAAACAATTAAAAAACAGGAGGACAGCTTAACGGAGCTGTGGGACAACGTGAAATGTAACAATATTTGAACAGCAGGTGTGCCAGAAGAGGCAGAAAGGGAGAAAGGAATAGAGAAGGTGTTTGAAGAAATAATGGTAGAAAACTTCTCTAATCTGGTAAAGGAAACAGTGACACAAGTTCAGGAGGCACAGAGAACCCCAAGCAAGAAGAACCCAAACAGGCCCACGCCCAGACACATCATAATTAAAATGCCAAAAATTAAAGATGAGGAGAGAATCTTAAAGGCAGCAAGAGAAAAGAAAACTGTTACCTACAAAGGAGCTCCCATAAGCCTGACACCTGATTTCTCGTCAGAAACTCTACAGGCCAGAAGGGAATGGCATAAGTACTCAAGGTAATGGGAAGCAAGGATCTGAGACCAAGATTACTACATCCAGCAAGGCTTTCATTCAAAATAGACAGTCAAATAAAGAGCTTCCCAGACAAAAAACAACAACAAAACAAACAAAAAAACATGGCTAAAGGAGTATATCACCACCAAGCCAGCATTACAAGAAATGCTAAAGGGAATGCTGTAATGAGAAGATACAGAGAGAAACCTAGAGATGCAGAATTAAAATGGCTATAAATAAGTATCTATAAATAATAACCTTAAATGTAAATGGATTAAATGTTCAAATCAAAAGGCATAGGGTAGCTGAATGGATATAAAAACATGACCCAACTATATGCTGTCTACAAGAGAACCACCTGAGAATAAAAGACACACACAGGATGAGAGTGAAGGGATGGAAAAAATTTTTTCCA